GGCCCAAGAGGCCTCCAAGACGCCCAACATGGCCTCCAAGACGGCCCTGAAGCGCCCCAAGAGGGCCCCAAGACGGCCCAGAGAGGCCCCCAAGACGGCTCCAGACGGCGTCAGACGGACCAGGAACGCCCTAAGACGGCCAAAGAGACCCCCAGGAAGCCCCCAAAGGCCCCCAAGAGGCCCAAGGAGGCCCCCAAGATGCCTCCAAGAGGCCTCGAAGAGGCCCCCAAGAAGCCCCCAACAGACCCCAAGGGTGCCCCAAGAGACTCCTAACAACCCTCATCCTCCTACTCTATTTCTTCCTCTTCCTCTTCCTGTTCATAATCATTCTCTCCCATGTGTTCCCCGAAAGCTTTCCAAACCGACTCGGGGAACTCATGGTCCGATAGCTTGGCCAAGCTCTAGTCCAACTTTCGGCCACATCGGCGTTTCCAAAAAGGCAGGGGGCGGCGGTGATTCGCCGTAGGCGTCTTCGATACCTCAGAGCACAACGGGGGCTACGTGCGACATCGGTGATTCAAAGATGGGGTGCTGAGGGACGGGGTCCTGAGAACGAGGTGCCTCAAAGATTGTACATTCACCCGTGGTTCCCTTCGGGCGTGGCCTAACCAACCATTGACAAACCATCCCCGTCCGTGACGCCACCCTCGCCTTTCAAGCTTCCCTCCAGCCGCATACATACGTCTTGGGGCGAGGCGGGGGGAGACGTATACCGCTGCTGACAATACCATCGCGGCCACGCCTTCGAGCGTCTTGCGCTCCTCCGTCGTGGGAGGCACCACCATGGCCTGCGCAGTCGCCCGGCCGATGGCCGAAGGATAGACGAACATCACCGGCAGCAGACGCAGGGGAACGAGAGATACGTGCGGAAGCGAGAGAAGGTCGACCTCCCGCCGCCTCCCCCGCCCGTCCTCCTTTGCCCCCCCCACCCTCTCTTCCCTCGCCCTTTCTCCTCCAGCATCCTCATCCATCTCCTCCTCGTCGCCCCTCCCCTTTTTCAGCGCCGCCTGCGCACACCGAACTGGTCAAGATCGTCAAGGGCAAACATGAGGAAGAAACAACACGTCCAGCTAGCAGGAGGGGGCCGAGCCTTCGCGACCTTGCTCCTCCTCCTCCTCCACCTCCTCCTCCTACCAGCCTTGACCCTAGACTTCTCACGCCTCGCCCTGACCCGCCGCGCCCTCAGAAGGGCCAGTGCAAAGGTCGTGAAGGCAAAGCCAACATTAGCACTGCACAACCATGATTCGTTTTCCCGAATGCCCGCAGGCGACTAGCCTGCTAGAGTGCGGGAGTGTTTTCCCTGCAGGGCCACTGCGTTTTGTGACGAGTGCGCACCTGCGCGAGTGAAGGGGCTTCCCTCGATAGACTCAGAAGGTAGACTTCTATTGTACACTCTGCCGAGGTAGCGTAGATGCCAAGCCGTGACGACATGTTGGGTCCGATTCATAGTCGGGCAGTCAGTCAGTCAGTCCTCCTCCTGCCTCCTACCTCCTACCACCTATCTCCTACACCCTCCTCGGCCTCCGCATACTCTCTCACCCCTCCTCCCCCTCCTGCTCCTTCCCGCATCCCTTCTCCTCCAGCATCCTCGTCCTCCTGCAGCCTCTCTCCTCCCTCCTCCCCCTCCTCCTCCCTCTGTACTCCCTCCTCCTTCCCCCCCAAATCTTCCTCCTCTCTCCTTCCTCCTCCCCTCCTCCCTCCACCCCCGCCGCTTCCCCATCCTCCTCCACTTCCCGCCCCCGCGCCCCTCTTCGCCCCTCTGACCCGCCCGCCGCTCCTGGCTCTGAGGGACCCGCTCCGCCCAGCTGTCGCGGAAGGGGGGGGGAAGAGGAGCGGCAAGAGGGGGGGGGCAGAAGGAGGAGGAGTAGGAGGGGAAGGAACGAGGAACGAAGGGAAGAACAAGGGAGGACAGCGCGAGGGAGGGAAGGAAAAAAAGGAATGGAACGCAATGGGATACCCAAATGGGAAACTGCACAACACAACATTCTGATCAAAACCAATCCCACTAGCCATGTGAGTTGGCTTCTTTGTCCCGGATTCCTTGGACAAGTGCAGCCACTCGCTGCTCATAGGTAGGGGCGTCCCTGAGGCCGAGAACTTTGAAACACCGTAAAGCCAGGGACCGCGACTCAACATGGGCCTGCCCAGCCGAGAGGAATGCCCGAGGGATGACCTCACTACGGCTCAGGAGCGGCTTAACTTTGCGCCTCGGCGGCATACCCAGGAGATAGCGGCGCAACGTTTCCTTGCCTTTCTTGGCGATCCGCTCGCCAGGCCGCATGCAAGGACGTCCCAATTGAACAGTTCGGCCCTGGGACCAAACCCCGCATTCTAACAAATCCAACACCGCTGCTCACGGACCTTGTCGCGCGAATCCGTGGCGACACCGGGGCGATCGAACTGAATCCCAACTGCGACGACGAGGTGCCCAATGAGGTCCGCGAGAAAACTCTCGTCGCCTACAGGAACTCCGCGGCAACCGCTCATACTGCAACTCGGCATGTCATTCCCATGGGTAAGGCAGCGCCTGCAGCGTAGACCGACTACCAGGGCGTGTTCCCATTGGTGCCAGCTCTGTCTGGGCTGGTTGGCCTTGCGGCGACGATGGTTCCTGGGCCACTTGGGGGAGACATCGGACAAGGGAGGCATGTGGGCTGCTAGCTTACATCGGTTGGCAGCCATCTCGTCAGCAAGATCAACTTCCAAGAAAGTATGGGATCAGGCTGCGGGTGTCTGTCTAGCGCCTGCTTCGCGCGATAACTATGACCGCATTCGCAACTGCGTTTTCTTTCTCGGTCTGCTCGAACGCCTGGATTTCATCCCGAGATCTATGCGCCTTGACGCGACGCCCGCGCTGTGTCAGCGCAGATCCCTCCAGGCCTTGTGCAAGTAAACGGATGCCAGGAAACATGGGTCTCGCTTCGAGCTGCTTGGCCACGCTCTGCTGTGCAGCTCTGACTGCCGACGTGCAATCTGCCGCGAGCGCTGTCTGTTTGTTTGCAACCTGCCCGCGCTGCCCCGACATCGCCGGCGTCTGCGGAATGGCTCCGCGGGCCACTCCGCGCGTCGCAGCGACGGGCCCCTGGGCCGTGCCGCTCGCAAGCAGCGCCCCAATCGACCGCGCAGCTGGCTGGGGCGCGCGGGGGGTGGGGCACGGGGCAAGATCCGTCAGGCACGAGCCGAACACAAACATCATCCTTGAACAGCTGGGCTAAGAACTCAGGATCCAGGTCCAGCGGGATGCCCGAAGCATCAGAAATCTCACCCCCCCCAAAAAAACAATGGCTTTGACAGCCTGTAATCAAATTAAACAACAATTCAAAACACGGGCCCCCCGAGAGCCGCCGCAATGCGTTCGAGAGGGGCCGCGGCCTCTTGACGGGCTGCCGAGACTTCCTCTCGCGCGCGCGTGGGTCTCACGGTGGAGCGCGTCGACCCTTCCGCGCGAGCAACGCCCGTCAGCCGGCGACCCGCCCAGCGACCCCTCTCTCCGGCCCGCGCCCAATTGCAACCGCAGCTCCGAATCAGACGCGTCATCCCCCCACTGCGCCCCCGAGCCTGCGGCCCCGAGCGGGGTCCGATGAGATCCTGGGCGGCGCTGTGTCCTGAGGGGCATCCTATTCGAACTGCAAGCTTGATTGCGCGTGCTCGCTGTATTCTTCGCATTTTAGCTGATCAGCCAGGAGCGCTGGAGGGGTCTAATCGACGTGGAACTCTGGGCCGTCGCGGTCCGCCCACTCGCTCCAGGGGCTGCGTCTACCCTCCAGCCCGCTCTCGAGAGCGCTGGCACAACGCGAGAGGAGCACCACTGGTCAGCCGCAAAAGGTTGGGCGAGGTCCCAAAGGCGGAAGAGCTCAAACCGACTGACTTGTTCTCCCGTGGGCCGGGTGGAGGCGAACCGAATCTTCCCGCGCCGCTGACTTGCCGGCGCCACTGCCAATCGAGAAGCCCTTGCCCCCAACTAGAACAAGTTTTGCAAACGGCGAAACTCCCCCATTGACGGGGGGGCAACGCAACTACGAAACCTCTGGCGAGACCTCCACTCGCTCGAACTCCAACCACCCACCTCAACTCCGCAACTGCCAGCGAGCGAAACTCCCGCTGGGTAAACTTTTTGCGTGGGAACGAAGAATGTGTGTAGCATCCCCGAGAGGCTCGCTCAAGCCGCATCACTTCCTGAAATCTACGTCGTGCTATCTAGACCTACTCATCTGCGTCGGTCGGGTCCGCCGCGCAAATCTCTGCGCGCCCGTAGTCTCGTCGAGCCCCTAGGTTCGCGGCGCTGTCCTTCAGCGCCGGGCTGCGGATGCCGAGCTCCGCGCGCGCTGCGGCGCCCAACTCCGTGGAAGGCGCCGGCGCCGACGTCGTGTCGCATGTTCACCCTGGCGTTGATTGTTTCGGGAATTCGGCGAAGCTCCGTCGCGGCCCGCGCAAACGCGCCCTTCGCGATGTCGAAGTCCGACGAAGCATTGCCCGCGGCGCCGTCGGCAGTGCAGTTGAAGAAATGCGCGACCAGACAGCTCGCCACATGGGCGCCCATTTCGAAGACAGCATGGGTCATGACAGCGAAGTCCGCATATCCACCGCAAGCAGGCGTGCCATTCATAGCATAGCACGCACAGCTTGCGCAGCACGGCGTCTCCCGCTGCGAACCAAGCTCGGCGCGCACCGCGCGCTGTGGGCCCGCTTAAGCACACGCGTCGGCACGCCCGCGCGCAAACGCTTCCACCTCAACTCCTGCAGCGGCTTGGGTTCGTCCTGCTGAGACCGGCCAACCACCCGCAGTGGCGCATGAACCCACTGAGTACGCGCGCGATCTGCCTCAATTCGAGCGGCTGGCAAGTGGGCGCAGCCCGCCGCAGATCGCCCTTTTGATCCCCCCCCCCCCCCCAGCACTTGCGATCGAGCATGTAAATCGCGCCGCGGATCATCTTGGGTTGGGTCGCCCGAAACCGCTCGACCCTGCGACGCGGCAGGGGCCGGCATTGCTGCTACTGCGGCTACTCCGCGCAATCCTCGCGCTCCTCCGGCGCGCGCGCCTGGGCGCCAGCGGGCCCAGGGCTCGCTCGCATCCTCGCGCATCACTTCTGCGCGAACTCAACGTCGTCAGATACCTCGACCAGAAACTGCTCAAAGACACTCGCGACCGTCGGAATCTGTCCAACTTCGTCGTGCGCCTGGGCAACCGCGGCATCCAAGCATCCACTCGGCCCTTGTGCGATGCGATGGACGGTGGGGCAGTCGGCGATCTCCACGCAGCGTTGCCCCAAGTACTCGGTGCCGCGATGCAACAATATGGTCGTAGAAATACTTTTAGCCGTCCATTGCTTCAGCGACTCTTTTCGTCATCATGTCGGGGCTCTCAGCACGCTCTGCGTCGGCCCGCCCCGGTTGTGGATGGCGCCCGAAGCCGCCGGCTTCAGGTAGAACGGCACCTGTCGCGCGCGCCGCCCCATGTGGCAGCCGCGACCGCAAACTTGGCCCGCGCGCGAGACAACAGAGGTCACGCCGCTGCAACGTGAAAGATCGCATCACTCGCCCAATCCACGCATGCCTGCGCCAGCTCATTGACCAATCAGGTTCCTGGCGTAAGGGTCCTGCGACGGGCTCCACTGGCAGAGCAGGCGTGACGGCGTAGATGACATGAGTGCGAATCCTGCCAAGGCCTAGAAGCTGGAGCAAAACAAGTCAATGGGGTCGGCGGCCCCATTGAAGATCAGCATCCGCTCCTCTGGCATCTCGAAGCGCTTGGTCATTGAACGCGCGATAGTCTATGGTAGTAGACCCCGCCCCACCTCTGCATGCAATCAGCAGCGGCACCACCATTGATGTTAACCATTCAGGGAAACTCAACTGCCTCGAGATCTTCCGCCTTCATGTTCCGGCCAGCACGTACCAGGCACGGGGCTCGGATAGTAGGAAAACGCATGCCACTCTTCGCAAGGATGTCGTTGCTGATCCCTGTCGCACCGGTGACATCATTGAGGTCTGCGTTGGTCACGTGCGTCGTAGGCCACCCAGGACGCTCCACGAGTACGTGCTGACACCTGTGCTCTCACTTGGTGCTCGTGCCCATCTGCTGGCATCAGTCCTAGATCAGTGCGAACAGGCACTGCCACTCCAGCAAATGTCACATGACGTCTTCTCGACCTCGCAGGGGGTGCCATCAAGATCCGTTCTCGCGAAGTTGCCTCAGAGAAGAAATACACCAAGCCATCAGCACGGCACCCTAACTCCTGCAGCGGTAAAACATGTAAAATAATACGTGGACGCGGGAATGAAACGATTTCTTACCACCATCACCGCTGACATGCTCGAACTTGTGCGTGCCCGTGGCCTCGGGGGCGGGGCTCATCTTAGCGCGTCCAGGGGCAATCGGCAAACCTGCGACGCGGACATCGGCAAACTCAGACACGAATCCGCGAACATTGCACACCCACCCAGTCATGATCATCAGGATGCGCGCTTTCCTTTGCAAACTCACGACGGCACACAGCGAATTTACTGGATTCCGCACCCTTATTGCACTTACCGAACAACCGTTGCTCAGCGAAGGGTCGCCTAGCTGCTTGCGATCCAGTAGCACCATCGTGCGGAACTGACCCAGCAACGTGAGCCGCATGAGAAGGCTTAAACATGCCTGCTTTGACCGTCTCCCAACTGACATCCTTAATCGCCGGCCGCTGTGTCGACCCCAAGGAGCTCGGGATAGTGTCGTCTTCAACAGATCCGGGGATGACGTCGAACTCCACGTCAATGGGCTTCTCCTCGTTTGCCTCACCCTTGTTCTCGGCAGTGGCGGCAGCCGTACGCTTGTATTCAGCTTCGAAGGTGGTGATCTCAAGCGTTTAGCCTCAAGCTGCACGGTCCCTGCCCCCGAAGACCCGTAAGAAATTGCGCCAGCTATGTCATTTGATCGATCTCCGTCTGGATATTCTCCCACTGGGACCGCGCACTGTGAAGGTCCTGCGCAGCCCTGCGGTGCGCGAGTTCGGGCGTGCGCAATGCTTCCTATTGATCTCGGACCCCCTTGATCGTCTTGAGTGTTGCCTGGCGGATCGGATCATCATCGGGACCAAGCCAATGCTTGAGCGCATTCTCGTACATGACCAGCCGGGAGGCAAGCTTTTCCTTCTTGGCCTTGCCGTCATCACTTGGTCGTGTCATCATTCGTGGCACCTGTCTTATGGGGCGAAGCGTTTCCCCAGGATGATAGCGCCTTGCTTCTCCCAGGCTAGCTTTTTGATCCGAAGTGGTGCTTTCACTTCCACGCTGGCAGCGGACTCGTGATGCCCAGTTCGCGCTGGCCGAGCATCTGCCGCATCAACATGTTGGCCGCCGCGGCCCGCGGAGCACGCTTCGTCTGTCATTATCCTGCCTCCGCGGGAAGGCAGAGAGCGTGTCAAAGCCAAAAGGCTCGCTGCAGCGGCGCCGTTCCGAAGGCAGCTGCAGCAAGCGCAAACCTGCGCCAGAACCGCTGGAGGGAGCAGGGGGTGGAGCAGGGAACGATGGACGGGAGGGAGGACAAGCAAGAGAGGGAGGAATGACAGGAGAGGGTGATGATCAATCGAATCTCTCAGATCTGGCGGCTCTGGGGGATGTATCAGGCGCCGCGGCCTTCTCAGAGCATTCTGGAACTCTCTGAGAGCGTTCTGGAACGCTCTGGAACGGATTTATCCTCGTCCTAGTCCCGCCCGGTCCTGGTAGATCCATACCATCCCTAATGAGAAAGTGAATTGACCGCTCGCGCTCCCCTCAACTGTCGAATGAATCCGCGGGGATAACAGACACCAGGCCGAGAACCACGCTCGTCACAAACACTGCATCACGATGCTCGTTTTGAAGCCTGTGCATCATTCGACCAGGGCTGCGCTGGCATCACGACCTGCTGCAAATTCAGCGGCCATTGCTGCGGTACAAGAAGAGGGAGGGAATGGAAGCGGAAGCATGGACGACAGAGGAGGGCGGCGGAGGGTGAGCCTGCACTGGACCAGAAAACAAGCGACACCACCCCACCAACAACGGTCCCAGAGGGCTTACACAGCGTATGTCGGGAAATCTGACGTGGACTGTTGCATGGCGTGCGCTGCGGCCCCCGATGAGCCGTGGCGCAACGTGGAGGGCCGCAGGTGGGGTGGTGTCGTTTGTGTTGGTCGATACATCGGTGAGAAGACGAGGGCTGGGGGCGGGCGGGGGCAGACGGGGAGAATACCGGCTGGACGCTCGAGCAAACGAGAACACAACACATCGGGCTGCCCGCCGCGTCCGCTCTTCCTTCCAGGCAAACATCCGACGGGTGCTCCTCGTCCTGCCCTCGTTCTTCTCCTCCTCTTCCTCCTCCTTCGCCTCCACCTCGTGCTCCTCTTCCCCCCTTACCTTTACTGCGGATGCGCCCCATCGCGATGATAACATTACCGCACCATTGCCATCAACAGCATCGTCAACATAATCATTGCAATTAAGGAAGATGTCCCGTGGGCCACGCCTAATCCTCAGCCTTGAACGCTCGAGAGTGCAACGTGCCAGTACGCATGCACACGAGGGAAGGTTCCTGATTCCTGACGGCGGGCTCTCGTTGCATCGTTCTGCAAACCACCACGGAGATGAAGTGTTATGTATGCAGTCACCGTCCTTGCTTTACCATGTTATAGCTCCCCTGCTGAGCAAATTCCGATGTATCCTCCTCTGCCTCTTCCCTGTCCTCCTCGCCCTCGTGATTACGTTTCTGCCCTGGACCCCTAGAACGAAGGAGACACCACATGTATACAGATCGCGAACCTACAACGGGAACACTCCAAACAACTCATCATCATCGCCATCGTAGCCATCGACATCATCGTCATCATCATCATCGCCGTGCACATCATCATCATCACCATCATCACAAGCATCACCATCATCATCATCAGCATCATCACCATCATGAACATCACCATCAACATCAACATCACCATCAGCATCATCATCAACAACATCTTCATAATCGCCGCCCTCGGTATCATCATCACCATAACTTGTTGTCTGGGGCGTGGCTGGTGGGAGCACCCCGGTCCTTCTTGTCGTTCAGTTCTGGGGCCTTCTGCAGGCCTTTGATGATGACCTCAGCGGGGAGGAACGATCGAAGATCCCAGTCGGAGGAGGGACGAAGAGGGAGACGCCGCTGCTTTGCACAGAGCCGAGTTACCCACCCCTGACCCAATGGCTTATGTTGTTCCCATCGTACTTAAGGACCACATCCCAGAAATAATTTCGAGCACCCAGAAAAGTGTCGAAAGAGTGTCGAGACAGTGTCGGACAAGCGTCTCCCATCCCAGGGCCCGACACGTGAAAACCCTAGAGGTTTTGGGTACTTTTCTGGTGCTCGAGATTCTTTCTTGTGATCAGCGAAAGTCGGGCCGGGCCGGGCGAAAGGGAGGGACAGCAAAGGGGGGGTTTGAGAATCAGCTCACGTAGCTGATTCTCCAGGCGCCTCCCGGCGCCGAGAAGCGCCCATGTATCGAGGGATGGGCCCGGCGGCGGGGCCGAAACCAGCTGCATGCAGCAGGTGTCGTACCCCCCCTTTCCCTATCCCTTGAGCAGGGACCGACCGTCCCGGCACTCCTATAGTCCTACCACGAAGTGTTCTTAGAACCCACACACGTTCTAAGAACAACAACAATGTTCTTAGAACATAAACCCGATGTGATAAAACAACACAGACTCCGCCAGACATGCTCTAAGAACATTTCGTGGAAACCACGAGGAAGGCTCTCATAACATTGTTTGGTGGGGCTGTAGGCGAGCCAGGACGCTTCGCCACTGCTTGGGAATCCCCCCCTGTCGTCCGGCCCGATAAAGCAGGTTGGAACATGACATAACCCGTGGCGCCCCCCTTTCCCTATCACCCCCCCTTTCCCTATCCCCCTTTCCCCTTTCCCTATCCCCCCCCCCTTTCCCTGTCCCGCCCCTTTCGTTCGGCCCGAGAAGGCAGGCGGGAACATCACATAACCCTTGGCGCCAGCACGACCACCGCCAGGGGTGCCCAGCTCCAGCAGGCCGGGCGCGGGCGCGGGAGGCCGCCGCGCGGGAGAGGGCGCGGTGCCGGTGCGCGGCCGGCGCCGCAGAGGCGCCCCGCCGCGCGGGGCTGGAGAGCGGCCGGGCGAGAGAGCTAGCCGCAAGCGTGGCGCCGATCCTCCTCCTCCCCCTCCTCCCCCTCCTCCTCCTCCTCCCTCCTCCTCCTCCTCCTCCTCCTCCCTCCTCCTCCCCCTCCTCCTCCACCTCCCCCTCCTTCTCCTCCTCCTCCTCCTCCTCCTCCCCCTCCTCCTCCTCCCCCTCCTCCTCCTCCTCCTCGTCGTCCTCCTCCTCCTCCTCCTCCTAGGGTCTTCGCGTGCTCCTCGGAGGGTGTCGAGGCGACGCGCCGCGCAGTGGCGTAGGTGCAGGTGTTGGGTCGGCGGAGTCGTCGAAAGAAGTGTGTTGAGGAGAAGGGGTGGCCTCTCGGCTCGCCTCTCAGAGGTGGGGTCAAAGGACCATCTCTCTGGACTGCCCCCGGGGAAGGAAATGCCAGCCTGAAGCCAAGATCGTTCACCAACCTCAACCTCTTGGACGCCAGGAACGGGTACGGACAACATGAGCACAGGACCCAATGGCAAATGTTGGCCAAAACCAACAGCGGCCGCTGTTGGGCAGGCGGCCTTCTGTCTCAAGTGGACACCGTCCGAAGCGACATCGACAGCAAGTCCTTTTTTTTTTTCAAATTACCAAGAACGGCTGTCGGTCTTTGTGCCCATTCTTTCCGTACCCATTTCGGTGGGGTTTGGGAGCTGTGACCCTGAGGCGCGGAGTGAGGCTAGACATGCACGCGGACGGGAAGTGCCGAACCTGTCAGCGACATACCATGCTGCAATTTTCAGTGGATGTGATGTGCCCCTGGAGGCTCACTGCCTGGCCCGTCGGTGGTCCAGACAACTGTCGGAATTAAATCGAGTAATGCGAGTGTAGGGAGGGTCACGTGAAAATTTCGTAGGAACATCCACATATTCAATGCCGAGACGGGTGAAGGTATTCGGTTCACGTGGTCGCGATATCAATACCGTCTTGGTGAACGTCATAGAAGGCAAACCCGCGGGAATCCTCGGCGGAACGGCATCGCAAGATTCGGCAGAGGATCCGCATGATACCGCTGGCTGGGGGCAAGATACACTAGGTCTGTGGTGGGCTACAATGCGACCAGGCCATAAGAATGCGCAGTACGGATGCAACGCCCTTAGACGCCCATGTTGAAGCCGAAGATGAAGATCCATGGCTTATGGCTAAGCGCCAGGATCTGCCGAGAGGCACAGGCGCAAGGGTAGCATTGGACACACACACACACATTCATCCTTACAAATACAATTTGACTTTATCGGGCCGGGGGCTGCGATTCCCTTCAGTGTTTCCTGATGTGTGCGTGGCCAAGATTAGACTGATTGCCTGAGGAGGTCCTTACCGACAACTCCATGGACGAGTCCGCCTGCTAGTGGAACTCAAGAGAAAGGAGAAACAGCAATACCTGGAGGCATGCTGCATGCCTGCAAAAGGGACTGTTTCGGTTGCTACGTGCAGGCCCGAGATCCACACACACACATGGACACACGTACACACATTTACTCATCCAGCGCTGTAGAGTCACGAACGCGTGATGCGCGAGCAAGATGCGTTGACATGAATTGCAAACGGGGGCAGACTGCAATACACACATTACCTGCCACTGGTGCAAGGTCGACGACTTACATATTACTGAAAATCTGAAGGCCACAGATGCCGAACGCTCTGCGGATCAAGGTTCTGCGGCACACGGCTTGCCCCACAGCGTGAGAAGTTGTTCTCTCCCACTGCCACATGCGGGCAACGCGACTCCCATGGACGCCACGCGTCCGCCCTCGAAGGCTAAACCACCGCACTACCTATCGCAGGTGCTCCCATGTGTTCGTCGTTATAGCGATGGACAGGTCCGTGGGGAGCAATTGTGCTGCACCCGATATCAGTCAACATGCATGAAAATGGTACAGCGCGCTCCAAGACTGCAGCGCCCACACAATGACGAGATCGTCGGTCTTAGACAGTCAGGGCGCTCGAACGGCGACGCTGGTCAGCACTATTTGTACATGGACCATGTAGGACGGGGCAGTGACTGCTCAAACAAGGGGAGACCGAGTCGCATGAGCAAGCGCGAGGTGAGAAATCGGCTAAGCATGAAAGAGTGAGCGTCGGCATTGACAATGTGTATCGCGTTTGTGCGCAAGGCGAACTCCAAATGTGGCAAAGGGTATCGTGGAGTGCGGGGTGGCCTTCATGTAAACAATCGTCTGACATCATAAGTACTCTACACGTCGGTCGGACGAAGTAAGTGATCACATTAAATAGGAAGGCCTTGGAATTTGATTGGGCTTCCGTTCGCCACCTGAAGAGGAGGAAAGAAGAACAACGCTCGACTCTTGAAGTATGAAGGCGGCTAAAATAGATTGGGATCTAAGAACCCCGAAATACCTACCTTCATAGACTGGCCGGTACGTGTTGTGTGACCGAGAACTGGAACAGCCAGAGGGAGGAGGTTGCCCCTGCCCCGTCGTTGTGGTCGTCGTCGTCGTCCTCCTCCTCCTTGCCCTCAACGTCGACGTCGTCCTTGTCACCCCTCATCCTCCTCCTTTTCCTCACCCGTCCTTTTCCAACTGGGAAAACCAAACAATTCCAATACCGCTACTCCCCGGACCTCTCCTGGGGTGCGTCCTGACCGGAATTCCGAAGTGAATCCAGCTGTGGCGACGAGGGACGGCTAGCGGTATGGATCCCTCTTCCTCCTCCTCCTCCTCCTCCTCCTCCTTCTGCATATCACTCCTCACTCCTCACTGCTCGATACTCACTCCTCATTCCTCACTCCTCCTCCTCCTCCTCCTCCTCCTCCTCCTCCTCACGCCTCATTCCTCACTCCTCACTCCTCACTCCTCGTTCCTCGCTCCTCACTCCTCCTCCTCCTCTTCCTCCTTTCTAATCCTCCTCCTCACTCCTCACTGCTCACTCCTCACTGCTCACTCCTCACTCCTCACTCCTCCCTCCTCCTCCTCCTCCTCGTCCTCCTCGTCCGCCTCCTCGCGGGCGCGACCTCGTCCCCCGGCTTGAAGCCCTGGGGCCCGGGGGGGACCCGGCGGTGGACGCGGGCGCCGGCCGCCCGACACCGCGGAGAGGCAAGGGGAGGCAACGGAGAAAGAAGGGGGGGGTGAGGATATCTAAGGAGAGGTAAGGAGAAAGGCTGAGCACCGTTCAACCGACCCCTATGCCCTATGGGCGTGGCCTGGGTCCCACGCGCCGATGCACCACCCTAGATGGGGATATAGGCTGTTTCCTTCGGATTTCGAGGGGCACATCCCCAATTGGGGTGCTGAGATGGTGGGGGTCTGGATAGGGATGGGGATGGGGACACGGAACGGTTAAACATTACCGTGCCTGAGTTTTGGGCCAGAGGATCCTTGGATACATGTAATTTGGGGTCTCTTGGCATGCCTCTCGGGCGCCTCGTGGGGCGAGTGTTGAAGCTTCTTGTTCAGGAGCCGAAGTCTTTCCACCGACGCTTTTCCCAGTCTCGCACTGAAGCTCGCACAATGCAGTGGATCCTGGTGTATACGGTATCCTGGTGCATACATTTGTTCGGTGTTTCCCCGGGGAAACGGGGAAACAAGCATACACCACACCACCCGGACGTCGCCCCCGGCCCTCAAGAAGTCCTGGGATTGAAAAACAGCCCCCACTGGTGATAGATGTGCTCCAGATCCGACTAGCGGCCTCATGTGGGCCACGTGGGGGCCTCTTGGGGCATCTTTTGGGGCCCTTGGGGACTTCTCGGGTGCCTGCTTCGGCCTCGGGGGCCCCCTCGTGGCGGAGGGCTCGAAGTGTCAGTTCGAGTTTCCCTCTTTGGCTCATCTCAGGTCTTCGGGCCCTCTCGGGCCGTCCTGGGGCTCTCTTGGAGGCCTCTTGGGCCGTCTTGGGGCGGTGTGCGGGGCCTTTGGGGCCATTTTTGAACGCTGTTAGAACCCAAAGTGCCACTATGCCAGAAATGCCCTTTCCCCCTAGGGGATGAAACAAGTATGGCCTCCTGGGGAACCTCCTGTGCATGGGATCGAATCCAAGAGCGAAATACATTTCCCCTTGAACTCTTTAATATCCGTAAGTGATTTGTGTTTGCACTCGTCAGTCCTCATGTCCTCGCTTTCAGTACATCGTATGACTGTACAAGAGTTATCAACGAAGTTCACTGAGTTACCTACTTCGCTAGTTGGTCCGCAACAGGGCGCATCTTGGAACCTTCGACATCTTCGGGGCCTCCTTGCGCCGTCTCGAGGCAACGGGTGGCCTCGGCCCTGCCGGGCCGCTCTGGCCGCTTTTGTAGTGGCCTCCAGAGCTGTTCTGAGCGGGGGGGGGGGACAGGGGCGCCCCGGCGCCCTTGTCCTCCCCCCCCCTGTCCCCCCCCGCCCCGCTCCTGTCCTCCCTCCCCCCCCTCCCCTCCCCGCCCCTGTCCTCTCCCCCGCTTTTTGGTGGCCTCCAGAGCTGCTCTTAGTGGGGGGGGGGAGGACAGGGAGCGCCCCGGCGCCCCCGTCTGCCCCCTGCCCTGCGATCTCCCGCTTTCCGATGCGAGCCAGGCGCAGGGACCTTGACACATACCCGAGGGGCTCTGAAGAGCCTGCTTCTCCTCGTTCGTCCTCCTCCGTCCCCCACCTCGTCACCACTAATAGTCACTGGGTGGTGCGATTCAGTCACAGACAGCTCCTCCACTTCAGTCGTGACCCACACAACATGATTGAGCTGGAGGTCAAAACGTACCAATCACGCGGATTGAGCTGAGACCTACGGCCCCAGAGGAATGCAAGGTTCACACAGCGACTCTGCAATTTTTTTTGGCACGACCCTCAAAGATCGTGCCCCCCCCCGTGAGCTCCACTCTCGGGTCCGAAAACAAAGATTGCATGGCGTCCCTCCCCCAATATCGGCACACCCTTCACACGGATCGTGCCCCAGAGGGATGTAGTTGTAGTTTCACGTGCGGCCATGGTGGGAGGAGTCGCATCACGTCACGTCCACCTGTGTATGTTGACTGTCTCCTCACACGAATAGTACCCGACTGGGAGCTCCACCGACAGCCACATAGCCTAGGTTCGCATCCCGCCGCCCCGCCCAACGAGGGTGACGACGACGATGTCAACAGGGAGAAGGAGTATGTATAGTTCCACGTTAGGGCTATCTTGTGGAAGATCTACATATACACATGTTTTGTAGCGTGTTGGGAACCTCTGGGTTCCATCCTGGTTTCTGGGGCTCTCTCCGGCTTACCTTGGGCCGTCCAGGAAGTGCCGTTGGACAGCTCGGTACCGTCGTGGCCAACGCGCATGGTGTTTCTTTCTTTGGGATTACCTTTTGGGACCCTCGTGTGGCTCGCTTGAGGGTGGCCTGGGGCCAACTGTAAAAGGCTGGGTGCTGAACATACCGCCACCGTGCCTTGGTTGTGGTTCAGATGCCTCTTGGATGCATGTTCGGCTCTCTTGGGAAGCCTCTTCAGTGAGCGTCTTGTAAACAGTGGGCCTCTGGGGTGACGTCTATGTGTGTATGTATAGGTGTATATGTGTATATACATATGTAAAATCTGACTGCTGAATTAACGAACGCTACATCAGGAGCGAAGTCCCTGCTTCTCACCCGAAGAGCCATGGTGCACGAGCAGGGATCGAAGAACAGCCATGGGATAATCTAAGGAATCTCATGGTGGGAGAGCGCCAACATGGGGAGCGCTCACGCGTGGTACATTTTCTCTGAATCAGTTGGCCGAGACGTCAGGAAATCAAGTCCCCTTCTAAAACCCACGCTCGCACAGCAGACGAATGATTGAATAACTCTGTTTGCTGACCCACCCACTGCGAAAACAAGTGGGTCTCACGCGAGAAGGCAACGCGACCTGAAGCCGCGGCTTACGCGGGCCGCCAGCGTGGCACACCGCGAGGAGGGGAGTGTGCTCACGCACGACCTTACGCAGGAAACTTGCGCGCGAATGTCCGTGCAACCGATCCCGTTTTCCAACCTCGCTCTGAAGTATGACGAGCTCCACCCTGAAATGCTTGAACACAACACTGGTTTGGGGACGCTGTCGTCATGTGCCCGTGGGCTGCGCACGCCCGTAGCCTCCCCGCCACCGATGGTGGCGCGGCAGCCCGAACAATCTTCAGGCACTGGTCGTCCTCGGCATCCTCCACTGAGACGAAGCCAGGATGGGAATAAGAGAAAACGACGCCATCACCAACAGGGACCACCAGCGGGAGGAGCCAGGGGGGGGGTGCCCTGGTGTGGCCCTCTCCCTCTCGTCCATCCCCAGCTCGGGGAGACATCGTGGACCTCCTCGCTGGAGGTGGCCCACGGTCTGTGTTGCTTCTCCTTCTCCCGACGGACAAGGGCAACATCGCATCAAGACGAAGCCCGCATCTCTGAGACCCGGCGGCTCTGGAGGACGTGTCGGGCGCCGCGGCCTCCCTGGAACAGTCTGAGGACGCTCCGAGAGCGTCCCAGAACGCTCTGGAAGGATGTATCCCGGTCCTGGCCCTTTCGGCGGTGGACAAACCTCCCTTTAGTAAACCTCCCCTTAGTGAAAACGGCCGGGGACCGAAACCGGCGGAGCTGGACCCGCAAAAATGACGGCCGCGACGCCCTCTCGCGCACCGAAAACGGCCAATTCCTTTATCGACGTGTCAGGGTAGGAGGTCTATCCACCTCCGACCCATTACGGTCCCCCTCCTCCGCCTCATTAGCCATCCTCCCTCATGCTCTCGGGGCGGCCAGGGTTGTGCGCGCTGGTCGACTACACGCAAAGAGTGACCCTGGGGAAGAGTGACCGATGGTGGTGACCTTTTTTGGGGGCCGCGGGGGGACCACTACCGCACCGCGTTCGGCAATCGGGGGACCCCAGTGGGCCCGCACCAAAGGCCACTCCGGCGAAGGGTCACTCTTATGTGTAGTCGAGCTGGGCCCGCCAGAAACGCACGGACGTACACGAAAGCCCACTGCGGGGCCCCGTAGAGTTGCCTCTAGCTCCGCCTCAGCCTGCAGAGGATAAAAAGGGGGGAGAAGGAGAGACGCGGAAAATCTCAGCTTGTCATGTGTTGAGACTTAGCCTTAACACGGGTGTGCCCCCCTACAAGGGGATTTTCGGCGAAAAATAAGAAATACATGAAAATGTTCCAAAATGGCCAACAAATGCTCAAACAATAGTCCCCTGACTATTTTTTTTTTGCTATTTTTGAATATTCCTCCTGTAGAGGGACAGGCCCGAACTAAGCTTAGCCGCAGCTCCCGCAAAATCACCACGGGGCTACCTCATAAGCCGTCGCACCAAGCTGTATCACTCGGAGCAGGGCGAATTGAGACAACGCAAAATCAACATCGGTCCCCACACCCCTCCTCAGGTCCAAACGCACTAATCGGCCGAGCTGCGTCCAACCCTGGTGACGCGGAGGCCCTGGAAGGGCGAACTACCGTTGCCTCAACTCGCCCTCCTCTGAATATACCATTCGACTTGCCGGACCTGTTGTGCAACTTTCTCTTACACACCGTGAAGCTACCCGGTCTGATCGAAAACATCGTGCGTCCCCAAGTCGGCCCCACGACCCTCCCACGGCACAGGGCAAATGAGGGGAGGTAGGAGGACAAGAAACGTGAAGCATGAGCGAGAGGAGAGAAGGGACCAGAAGGGGGGAAGGAGGGCGAAGCGGACGAGAAGGGGGAAGGGGGTAGGCCCTCCTTTCTCTCCTGTTCTTTCAAAAGTTGGATTCGACTGCAAGGAGTACGTGGCAGCAGTGGAGCAGAGACAACGACGAGAAACTACAAGGGCTGCTCCGGCGACGACGGAGACAAATGCGGCGGTGGCGACGACCGAGACGTTGACGACGCCATCGGAGGAAGCCCGCTGGTGGCGCCTGCGGGGCTGGAGGCGCACCGCCCATGCCGCCCATGCCAGGCATGCCGCCCATACCGCCCATGCCGCCCATCAGGCCACCGAGGCTCTCCTGGCATGCGCCCCCGACTCGCCCCCTGCCCCATCCTCCGCCCTCCTCATCCCCCTCCTCCTCACTGCTCACTGCTCACCTGCTCACTCCCCGCTCGATTCGGCAGGGTTGGACGTGGTTTTCCTGGCCGAGGAACCTGAAATAACGGTGAAGGCTTCAGGGGACCATGCCACCCTACGCACCGAGCCGTCTCGTGCGGGCAGCGAGTCACGGCCGACGTGGTCTTCTCACCGTTCCTTGGTCTGCTTGTTGGGAAGACATTGTCTTTTTACAGTCTTCAGTCCTCCTCCTCCTCCTCCTCCTCCTCCTCCACTCCTCCTCGTCCTCTCCTCCTCCTCCTCTCCTCCTCCTCCTCCTCCTCCTCCTCCTCCTCCTCCCCCTCCTCCTCCTCCTCCTCACTCCTCACTCCTCACTGCTCACTGCTCACTCCTCACTCCTCGCTCCTCACTCCTCCTCCTCCTCCTTCTCCTGCTCCTCGTCCCGGTCCTGGTCCTCCTCGGCGCTCTGTTCTCCACCACGATGCATATCGTTCACACAAGATTCTCACACTCTCGGGGAACCCGGGAACAAGAACACACGGCCACGACCGCCCCCACCTGACGGGCAGACGGAACGTTGCCCTGCCTCTGGAGACGCAGGGCCCACGCCTTACACCCTGAGTCGACGTTGCCTTTGCGCTCCCTGGCCAGGTCTTTGACCTTGCTCTTGGAGTACACTCTACCACACCAAGTCACAGGCCCTCTCCTCCACCTCCTCCCCTCCCTGCCCTTCCTCGTCCGCCCCCTCTCCTACTCATCCTGCCCCCTCCTCCTCCACCTCCTCCCTCCTGCTCCCTCCCCCCTCCTTTGCCATTCCTCCTCCTCCTCCTCTTCCTCTTAGTATTATTCGTACTCGTATTGGTAATAGCATTATTGTTATGCGTTGATATGAATTGGTATCACTATTGGTGTTCATCATTACTATTGCCACGGCCATTATCCACATGATTACCTATATGATTATTATACATGTTGGCAATACGTGTATCACTGTTGTGGGATCATTGCGGATCCAATTACTACGAATCCAAACTACTTTTGGTGTCCGACTAATTCTTATTATTCGTATAATTATAGTCAGTGGCATTGCTATCAACAATATCACCATCATTGCTATACTGACTATCCGCTTTCGTATTCCAAGTATTGCTCTTACTATTACTCGTAGTTATGCTTACTCGTCGTATTCTTACCCGTAGTATTGCTACTATTTATAATGATGTGTATATATGTATATACACTGTCATGTGTATGCTGCGTATTTCTTAGTGTTACGATATTAAGCCTATGACTAGTTTGTCAATCGTACACATTTTATCGACAGTATTCATATGATCGCCATTCTTGATATGGATCGTGTACTTATAACTATGTTTCCATCTCCTCCTCCTCCCTATCCCACGCACACGTGGATTAAAGGAAAATCGAACGACGGCACATCTAGTCCCAAAGGCCCGTGATCCCCTCATGGCGTGAGGGGTGGGGGTGACCGTTCTGCTGCTCTGGCGCCACGCGGGCGGGGGGGGGGGGAAGGCAAGGAAGATGGGGGAGGGAAGAGGGAACACATAGAGCTACGGGGAGCGGGGATCAGGTGGGGAGGAAGAGACAGGGAGCAGCAGGAATAAGGACGGATTAGGCAGGACGAAACAGAGACGACAACAGAGAAGAATAACTCGGACTAGGGACGATCCGACAACAGAACGACGAAGAAGGGGAAGACGTGACCAGAGGCCCTGGGAGGACTCCGGGACCCCCACACTGACCACAATGGAAAACACCTCCTCCAAATCCACACGACAAATCCTCGATGGGCGAACCTCTTTATTTCCCGATCCTCCGTTGTTGGGTTCTCTTGAAAAGGGCACGATGGTCGCGTTCCACCTCCCGCCCATCAATTTGCTGTCTGGCTGTCTCTGTCTGTCTGTCTGTCTGTCTGTCTGTCTGCCTGCCTGCCTGCCTGTCTGTCTGTCTGTCTGTCTGTCTGTCTGTCTGTCTGTCTGTCTGTCTGTCTGTTTGTCTGTCTGTCTGTCTGTCTGTCTCTCTCTCTCTCTCTCTGTCTGCCTCGTAACTGGCTCGTACCTGTCTCCGAGCTCGCCACCCCTTGAAAAGGCTGCGATCTGCGAAGCCGTCAACACTTTCGAGGGCCTGCTGGGGGGAGCCAGTACAATGACACCATATCCAGACGCAGATTCGACCTCGCCACCCCTGAAGGGCTGCGACCTGTGAGTGTGTCGTCAATGACAAGGGCTGCTGGGGAGGGGGGGGCAGCGCGGTGACGCCATACCCAGACTCAGATTCGTTCTCGCCAGCCCTCGGGGGCTGCGATCAGCGAAACTACAACCACTTGCGAGCGCAGCTGGTGCGGCCAGCACAGTAGGGCATCACCCGGAATCAGATTCGACCTCGTAACCCCCCGGGCTGCGATCTGCGAAACGGCCGCCACTTGCGAGGGCTGCTGGGGGGGGGGCGCGCACTGGGGCCATACCCAGACTTACATCAGACCGCGCCACCCCTGAAGGGCTGCGATCCGCGAGGCTGTCGCCAGTTTCGAAGGTTGTTGGGGGGGGGCCTTGCGTGGGGCCATACTAGAGTAGAGAGTCAGATTCGACCTCGCCACCCCTGGGGGGCGGCGATCTGCGACGCTGTCGCCAGTCTCTAGGGTTGCTGGGGGGGGTCTCACAATGTTCGCCACCCCTGGGGGGCGGCCACCTGCCCTGCGAAACGGTCGCCACTTTCGAGGGGGGGGCACCGTGGGGCCATGCCCAAGCTCCACATACATCTCGCCACCCCAGAGGGGGCTACGATCTGCGAAACTGTCGCCACGTTCGAGGGCTGCTGGGGTGGGGGACAGCACAGTGGGGCCATACACAACTGCGCACTGGACCTCGCCACCCCTGAGGGGCGGCAATCTGCCAAACTGTCGCCGCTGCCGCTTGCGAGGGCTGCTGGGCGGGGGACGGCGCATCAGCGTCCTACGCGGACTCAGGTTACACCTCGCCGCCCCTTGAAAAGGCTGCGATCTGCGAAACCGTCGCCACCTTCGAAGGCTGCTGGGGGGAGTCCAGCGCAGTGGCGCCCTGAGGAGATTCGGGCTCGACCTCGCCCTCCCTGGGGGGCCGCGAGCTGCGAAGCCGCCCCCACTTTCGAGAGCTGCAGGGGTGCCCAGCATGGCAACGTCCTGCGCAGGCTCGGATTAGACCTCGCGGCGCGCCTGCGCGCGTCTACATCCCTACATCCCGAATCGGACACATTCCAGGAAGAGGCCCAACAGCTGGCAGAGTAGCTCGGCCTCGCGCGATCCTACCACTGACTACGAACTGATTGGTGGGGCGCCCCGAACAATGAAGTCTTCCCGTCCTCCGCCCTCCACTCGTCGTCATGTCGTTCCTTCATGCTGCCATGTTAGGTCGGGCAGGTCCCCCATACAAGGGGATTTTGGGCGAAAAACTAGAAATCGTCAACAAAAATACCCTCACATGGTCCAAAAAGATCAAACCATCGTCCCCATACTTTTTTTTGTTTTTTCAATGTTTGAATGTTCCTCCTGTAGAAGGACGGGCCCGGCTTCATGCCATGTCCTCTTGCTGCTGCCCCGCTCATGTCTCGAGACCCTCGTCCGCCTTCCGCTCCCGGCCTTCGCACCTCGCGCCCTCCGGGCCAAAGGGCGTAATTAACGAGACCTCTCCAGCAGGCCGTTGTCCATCGGTCGGTGCCTGGCGAGTCGCGTAGCTCGCAGAACTCCCAAAGAACGCTCGCAGACCATATGCCCACTACCGCGTTACCATCCCCTGTTGTGAAGTCTACCCAGCTATATTGGCCACGCGTTGCGCAAGGGTTGGGTACATCGTCAGTGTAAATGTGGTGCAGCGTGCCCCACTTGCGCTCATGGCCCATTCGGCACTGCGCGCAGCTCAAGCAGTTACGCGCGCTCAGTACTAGTACCTGAAAACTTCCCTGGCAAAGCGCCCTGGAAACATCTAAGGCTGCATGAGAGACTTGTGGGGCCTGCGGTGCCTGTGGCACCACCGAGACCTGCGAGACCTGTTGGAGTTGTGAGGCCTGTGGGACCTGTGGGACATGCGGAAGCTGTGGGGCGTGCGGGACCAGCGAAACCTGCGGGACCTCCAAGCCCTGTGGGAACTGTGGGCTGGTGGGGCCTGCGAGACAAGGGAAACCTAATGGAGTTGTGGTGCCAGCAGGACCTCGACCTGTTGGACCTGCGAGACGGGTGGGACCTGTGGGACCCTGTGACACCTACGAGACCTGTGGGACCTGCGACCGCCGAGGACACAAGTGAGGCCCTTAAATTGTGGGACGGCCTGGCATCCAAATAAGGGCGTTACTTGGGACCATACTCCTTAATACATATGGTCCATCGACAAACTGCTTCGTGCTTTGGGACCATCGATGCCCCCCGGGCGGGATATATCAAAGAACCCGTACGTCCACCATGTTTACTTTGAGCGGGGGATGAGGGCAAAAATCAAACGTCCCAGCGTGGCCACCTCAACCCGTTACCATTCACCCCTGTTCTGCCGTTCTGCTGAGACTTGAAACGATTACGATGTCGTCGCCGCCGCAACTGCAATGCATCCAAAAATCCGCGTGCAATGCAAGGGAACCGTCATGGAGGTGGGCGCGTTCCAGTAGGCACCAACGTCCAAGTGGGAGCCCCAAGAGAAGCACGAATGAGCTGGATAGTGGCCGGGGGGACGGAGTGGGTGGGAGGGCGACAAAGAAAACGAGGGAGTACGTCCCGAAACGACGCGGATGAGCGTGCCACGCGTTGCGGCCACTGCGCGGGCATTGGCGACGATGTGTCGCGCAGTACGGTTTTCTTGGCGGTGCTAAAAAAAGAAACACCGCCCGAAAGCTACACAATCGCGGTGCGCGGGACTTGCCGCGAGATCATCAGAACAACGCAAACGCCCTATTCTCTCCACGCAACGGCGGTGCGTATGAGATTAATCACCAACATCGCGCCGTCCACGGGCCGACCGGGCCCTCTGCTTTGGCTTGCGCGCACGGAAACAAGAACCCATAACAAGATGCGACCGCAGAGAGGAGGGCGAAGGGAAGAGGTCGGGCGAGAGGCGAGCAGCAAACGGCCGACGCACCCAACAAAAACGTGGCAAGCGCAAGCACCGCACGCACAAAAGCAGAACGCACTCCCGAAATGTTGGCGCGCTGCCGAATCGGGAAGGGGGCGGGGGCCTCGCGCGCCCAGAAGGAAAAAACTGGCGGCGCCGTCGCCGCAGGTATGCCGCGCCGAGCCTCGGTGCGCGGGGGCAGTCCGCCCAGGCAAGACGCCCGCAGCCAGCGAGCGAGCAACGCTACGCGCCGCCTTGAGCGCAGGGCTGTGGTGCCGCAGCGGCTGCACTTCTACTCGTGCGAACTCCCCTTCACAACACGCGCGTGCGTCGTGGCAAGCGGGCATCGCCGCGCATGGTCGCCATTCGGCCTCGCGCAGGCACGCCGGAGGGAACATCCACGGGCAACGCGCTGCAACCGGCAAGGCTGCAACCTTGAGAGAAAACGCCGCGTCACAGAAACAGTTGCCAACAGTAACCGCAAACAGGAAGAAATGAGCAAAATATAACTTCAAACAACGTGCAGAACCTCTGGTTGCGGTGGCTTCTTGCGCAGTCACAGGGGCCCGAAAGGGGCTAGAAGCGTCCAGGAACTGGGCGAAACCTAAAACCTCGATCAGGAGGAGGATGGGAGAGGAGGAGAAGTGAGCAAATGGATGAAGATGAGGATGAGGATAAGGAGGAGGAAGAGGAGGAGATGAGGAGGAAAATGGGGAGGGGGGAAAACAACAGCGGCGGGCGTAGCGACGACGACAAAGAAAGGTGGCGGAAGCGCAGCGGCAACAGCAGCAGGCCCGCCCAGCGCTGTCCGGGCCACCAGTCGCCTGGGAGAACTTCGCCAAGATCCTGCGGCGCGAGGCATTGGCGGGGGCGTGAGCGAGCGCGAAAAAATTAGCAGCACCGCCAAACATCTTGACGGGAGCCCTCTATAGACCCCATCTTCCTGCGGTATTTCTCTCACCCAATTGACCTGGGATGGCTCCGGGGCCCGACTCCGGGCCAAGACGCCCAGCGTGATAGAATTGCAACCTCAGGGTCCCCCCCTCCCTTGAGGGGCAACGATGGGGGGGGGGCTGGCGCAGGGGGGGAGCCATTGAAGTGGAATCGGCGAGACATCACGGATAGACCAGCGAGAGACCCCCAATAGCGGATCCGCGCCTTCCTGGGCGGGCAGGGGCTATCAGACCCCGATCGCCTATCGGCGCTCAAGGGTCGAGTCGGGGTCGATGCATTCCCCCGTGTGCCTAATTGATTACCCTCCCCCCGACCGTTGCCCGTGATCCCTCCCTCCCCCCCCCCTCCCCTCTGCCTCCCTCATCCACAATCCCGCCCCGGCTGCCGGCGGAGGCGGCCGACCGGCTACTCGCGCAAGAGTGACCCTTGGCAGGAGGGACCTCTGCTGCGCGGCTTGCCGAGCATTGCGTGCGGTGCGACAGCGGCGGCTCTGCGGCCTCTGGAGCCTCCTCTTCCTCCTCCTCCTCCTCCTCCTCCTCCTCCTCCTCCTCATGCTCCGCCACCCGCTATCCGATCACCTCCGCGGCCTAAAGCCTAATGTCCACCCTCCTCTATCTGCAACTTCCTCCTCCTCCTCCTCCTCCTCCTTCTCCTCCTCCTCCTCCCCTCATTCACCCTCTCCTTTTGGACGCCCGAATCTGGGTACGGAACAAATTGACACAATGCCCAACAACAACAAGTGTTGTCCAACACCGACAGCGGCCGCTGGTGGGCAGGCAGCCTTCTGTCTCAAACGGACACCGTCCTCGGAGGCGAGGACAGCGAGTCCTGTTCAGCATGAACAGGAACTGCTGTCGGTCTTTGTACGCATTTCTTCCGTACCAATGTTCGTCGTCCCGATGTGTAAGAGTGACCCTAAACAAGAAAGACGTTTGGTGCGCGGCTTACCGGCCATTGCGTGCACGGTGGCGGCTCTGCGTGTTGGCGGCGCGGAGAGGGGGCTAGGGGAGGGGGGAGAGCTTCTAAAAGGAGGCTGCTTCTTAGAAGGCGACGGCCCCACATCTACAGAGAAGGCCCTCGCCTTCTAAGAAGCAGGGGTGTTTCTAAGAAGCCTCCCCCCCTCCCCCCGCCCCCCTCTGCGCGCGGCCGAGCGTGCTTCGCCTTGGCCCCGCAGCGCCCCCCGAAAAAACCGCACACCAAAAGGTCAGCCTGGCGAAGGGCCACCCTTGCGCTCGCCATCGCTTGGACGTCCATTCCCCGTGCACTGCTCGACTTCGTGTTTTTTCGCGGTGCTCGATGACCCAGCATGCTCCTCGATGGTCCTCACTGGGGAAAAAACACGTCTTTGAGCAGGGACAAACCGTCCCGGCGTTCCGATAGGCCCACCACGCAATGGTCGTAGAACTCATAAATATGATAAGAACCAAAACGATGTCCTTAGAACATAAGCCCGCTGTGTTAAAACAAGACTGTCCCAGCCAGAAGTGTTCTAAGAACATTTCGTGGAAGCCACAAAAGGTTCTTAGAGCATTGCTTGGTAGGCCTATAGACACGCCAGGACGCTTCGCCACTGCTTGAGTCCTAGCGATGCCAAGCACGTGCAGCGGAGCCCACACCTGGCGGCGGGGAGCGCCCCGCCTCTCGTCCGCCTGGTACTTCTCCAGGGCCTTGAAACCTCACCCGGGTCTGCCGCCGTCCACCGGGGCGGCCGGCCCGCCGTCGTCCACCGGCGCCAGCGGCCCTCCTCCTCCTCCTCCTCCTCCTCCTCCTCCTCCGACGACGACGACGACGACGACGACGGCGACGGCGATGGCGACGGCGACGACGACGACGGCGACGACGACGCCATCTCCTGTGGCTGGCGGCTCTCCTCCGAGGCGCGGGCGCGGCTCGCCGCCAAGGGCGCTCTCGCCCGCAGAGGCGGCCGCCTCGTTCCCGGCAGATGGCGGTGACGAGGCTCGCCGGATGCGGGACGCGCTCTGCACTCGTGGCTGTGGTCGGGGAGGCGCAAGACTCGGGAACTGGGGGCTCGGGTTGGCCTGACGGGGCCAACCCGTGATTGCTACAGACTCTTCCTGCTCGTCTGGCCAAGCACTGACATCTGACGACAATCAAACAATTCCCGCAACCAAACCTTTGTTCACCCGTTCCCCCCCCCTCACCGCGAGACCCAGGATCACGAGGCTTTGTAGGTTCCTTCCCACCCGACACTGTTCAAGCCCTCGGTCGGACCCCGTATCGGGGAGACGTAAGACTCGGATACGGGGGACTCGGGTTCTCCTGACGGGGCCGTCATAAAAATGGCAAGACCCAATCTGAAATTTGACGCGGGCTCCCGCTGCAGACATCCCACGAAAACTGTAACGTCAAAATCCACGACGCGCCTTTCAACAAAAAGTGTCGGCAAGCCCGAGTTCCGGCTTACTCGAGTCTTACGTTTCCCCGATATGGCATCGAGCTCGCCAAGCGTGTTGGCGAAATTGGGCTGCAGATATCGCGCCTCAACTCTCTGATCCCACGTGGCTTCCGGCACCGTCGTCATATTCATCATCATCATCATCATCATCATCATCATCATCATCAGCATCATCATCATCATCATCAGCATCAGCATCAGCATCAGCATCAGCATCAGCATCAGCATCAGCATCAGCATCAGCATCATCATCATCATCATCATCATCATCATCATCATCATCATCATCATCATCATCATCATCATCATCGCCGTCATCATCGCCGTCATCATCGCCGTCATCATCGCCGTCATCATCGCCGTCATCATCGTCATCGTCATCGCCATCGCTTCTCCTTGGCGCCCCCCCGCTCCCCTCCTGATGCCGCACGTCCTAAGGCAAGGCTCGAGCTAAACAATGGTTCTCGTTTTCGTTATTAGTTCGGTTTTCCTCGTCCTGTCCTCGTTTCTCCTCTGCTGCAGAACTTAATCAAAACAGAAACGGGCCACGAAATCGCCAAAACAACGTTTAGCTCGAGCCCTCTCCGGAGGAGGCCGTGCTTCACACTGCTGGGTGGTGGGTTCCCGTGCTGGCTGCGGGATGTACGGTGACCTGCAGTTGTTGGATCTCGTGCGTGAGGTCTTCGAAACAGTTGACAAAACCTCGTCCTGGAACTCCATTTCCAACTCTTCTCCGGAAACTCACTGCATCTCCAATCATCAGACACGCCAAACAAGCAATACCACTACGAGAAAGCTCCGGATTTAGTCAGCTCCCGTGATGAGTGCTACAGACTCTTCCTGCTCGTCTGGCCAAACACTGACATCTGACGACAGTCAACATTTACCCGCAACCAACGCTTTGTTCACCCTTTTCCCCCCCTCCCCGCGAGACCCAGGATCGATCAGA